TTCGATAGGGACTCGACTGATCAGTGAAAGCTCTCAAGCAAACCACCTCTGAAGATGCCTAAGAACCCGAAATGTACGACGGTCTAAGAACTCGCAAGTTTTGATTTGATTTCCGTTTGAAGCGTTTTTTGTTGCAATTATTTTTCGATTCGTCCGTGTTTTTGCGAAAAATTACTGGTTCACATAAAGTTTCTACCGAGTGGCAACTGAACCAATGCACAATTCGTGGAAGTTCTACATGGTCTCAGTTTGAAAAAACATCTTTTTTGTATTTCAACATCACAGCCATTAAGATAGAGCTCGTATCAAGAAAAAGCTTTTGAGTTTTTCGCTGATCTCGTTTATTTACAAAGTAGTGTTGAAAAAATCAACTTTTTGGTATTGCAGTGACAATTTTTTGCGCATGTTGAAGCTAAAACTGAAGCTGAACATTTCTAATTCTTTCTGTGTTGGTTAACTTTTCGTTATTTTGCGACAACATTGTAGCCATTAGAAGTCGCAAAACACAATTGTTGAGAAACTAATCTTTAAAAATATGTGCCTATTTTCAGCAAAAAACTCAAATATATAAAAATTCCGTGTCGCCTAGCGTGAATAACCCTGTATAATATCCCTGTAGGCGTTCTCTCATTGTTAACCTCCTTAAACCTTAAATAAATTTAGTACACAGACAATTTCTTTTAAATTGCTTAATATTGCGTTATTTCCGTCGCCAGAATTGTAATACACAAAGGTTCAATAATTCAGCCTTTATTCTTCCACTTACTAACAGAGCGCACGTTTTAAAAAAATAATGTCAAGTGTGAAATTACGTAAATTATTGTTTGCCAGTAGCTTTACATAACTCGTCCTATATTTGTAACGTTCTAGCTAATAGAGTTTTTGGAAATCGCACTCTTCAGGGCCCAGTTCTTGTATTTAGACTTTTCTCGGCTTCCCTTTAACGTTTTTTTAATTGAAACTTAGTTCGCACTTGTGTTTCATCTAATGGTTGCGAGAAACGTTAAGGCATTTTACATGTTCGTTTTTATGACACCCATGTTACGTACATTTCGGTTTGTTTGATCTGAGAGTGGGACACTCTTTTGTCTCTAGTATATAAATTTTATTACAACACCAAGGTAGCAAGTGAATGTTGAGCTTACACTTTTGTTTAGAAAATAACCTTGAGGCATGATTCGTACCCATTCAGAGCGCTTAAAAAAAGTTATTTTTACTGAATCCTGTCAGCGCACAGCATTCTCTTTTATGTAAATATTTATTAGCAGCGTTGGAATTTAAATATAAGAACCTTCTATACGTGTTATACCTTTCTATATGAAACAACAATTGAGATTACGTACCGGGTTTGTAATGTTTTCGTTGTGAACGTTACTTAATACCAATTATCAAGGTTAGACACTGGCGTAACAGGTGGTTTTTGCACGATTCTGCTTCTAATGGTCATCTTTTTCACATCAGTACCGACATCCTTGATATTTTTGAGGGTCCACACATAACATTTTTAATTCCTACTTATAGGATCAATTTTGGCATTGATCTTAAGGTCATGCCACCAACATTCTTCCTTCAATATCACTTGAAAGTGACTTTCAGTGAAGTGGATTAGTTTGGATTTTTAATTTGATACCGATGGTAAATTATATTGACAACTTGTTACTTTTCTCATTGAATTTTTCAACATTCGGAACTGTTTCCAAACAGCAAATTTTGAATGAAAAATATACCTAACTGCTTCACTGGATTGTGGGCTGTTCTACACTCAGCTGGACAAGAACTAGAAAACCAATTGAGCTATTTCTTAAAGGGTTCAAAAGGCCAATCCAATTTAAATATTTATGAACGCCTTTAATTAGCATAAACGCTTTAATGCATTTTGAACAAATCTAAATAATAATCAAGCCTGATCAATGAAGTTACGAAGTATTTAATTGGAAATTGCTCGATAACAATTCAACCTCACTTACATTGTATCGAACTTTGCCCTATCAAATACAAATAATCAAAATATTTTGGAGCGCAAAATTTACTTACCAGTCTTCCTAGTTTCATCTTGCATTGTCGAATTGGGCAAACTCGTTCTGAACTTTTCTGGAAACGATAATTTAATCAGCTTCTATCTTGGACGAATATTTGGAAAACATGTGCGAACAAAATTTGAGCTACATGCGGATATTTCAAGGCCTTGCAAATCTCCAAAAGACCCGTTCACCTACAATAATCTATTTAAAAACGAAACTAATTTGCAATCTGTATCAAAAGTTGGTTCGTTCTTCCGCATACTTCTTGTTGGCTGCTGTACAAATTCATTAGATATCAATTATGTAATAATTAAGTTGGCTGGATTTGCTTATTCATAAACGAGGCTCTAGTTTTTTTACTCTGGGCTTTTAATAGGTGATCTATAAGGATAGCGGATACCAGGGAGGATCAAGCCATTTCAATATTTTTCAGTTATTTATTGAATTTCGCTTTCTGCTGTGGAAATACTGAAAATAGTGTGTGGCGTTCGAGCAAGTATCTATTTTTTATTTGATCCTTGAGGAAGAATGTGATTTTTTCTTCTTGTGAGTAGGTATTTCATTAAAATTTCATGAGCCGGTGATTTATTTCCCGCGAGGAGGCGCTTAATTTTGCTAAAATGAGGTTTCACGATTAATGCGCGTCTCGTTAACATTTTCCTCGAACCTCGTAGATTCTTTACTAACGAGAACCTGAATCCTTTCTTAAAAAGAGAGAAAAATAATTTCAATGTCACATTCAAGATTAATTTCTCGACAACAAAATTATTAACCTTGAATAAATATGACGACTTAGCCTGCATTTTTTTTATTGCTTCGAGATCATTTATTATATGGAGAATGGAGAGTTTTTTCATGTCAGGTACCCTCATTTGGAGAATGGTTTACGTCCAACTAGGATCTGATTTCGCTTAAATTCCGGTAGCATCGCAACTACAGACTTGATAAACTAATCAAGATCTAAAGATGCTAAAGTTATGAAAAAGTTATTTATCACTGAAAAACGTGTTGATTAATTAAACCTTGTTGAAAAATTGATATATCTTGTAAGCCAGATTTCGTTACAAAAGTTGCAACGTCTATCAGTTCAAAAAACCAGTTGCTTTTATGTAAATCTGTTTTTTTTATTTACTTAGTAAAAACTGATATTCGCCAATGGTTCTCAAAAAATAGCAAGAAAAAGCGGTTAATATGACAATAACTTAAATGTTTACATTTAAAAACCTAAAAAATGTCAAAACGAACTCATACATGGTGAAAAATTACGTAAAGGATTTAATTAAAGGTATTTTTTGACAAAATAAGAAAGTGCGTGAATGAGCGACACGAAAAATAAAACATACCTACTCAGAAACTCTAATATTGAAAACTACAGTTGACACTGTCTTTCATTGGCGCGCTTCTGAACTTTAGTTTTTTAATTTATTGAAGGTGAATGGAAGAAAATTAAGGGTCGTGTAACTGAAAGTTCAAACCTAAGCTCAATAAATAACATCTGTTAGACCTGAAACATCTGAAAAATCCCAGCTTTGAACTGAATGTCAATCACTATTCAAAGCTGGTTGAAAAACTGATATCTTTTATAACCAGTTTTTATTCCAAAAGTTGCAACTTCCATGTGTTTTTTGTAACGAGTTATTTGTCAGATTTGTTTTGTAAAATCGTCTATTTTGCAAACGGTTCCTAAAAAATCAACACAATAATTTCGATACCTACATACAAAAATACAAAAGACATCAAAAGGAACCCAGTAAATTCTGAAAAAATACGACAGAAATGCGTTTTCATAACTACATTTTTTGACCGAATGGGAAACTGCGTGTATGACCGAGAAGAAAAAAATTCTCAGAAATGGAAGTTGAGTCTTTTTCTTTCATTGACGGTGACGGGAGAGAATTAAGACCTGAATTCTGAACAGAAATGCTGTTTTATAAATACTTTTTTTACCAGATGAAGAAATTGCGTGTATGACGTCAGAAACTAACGAATTGAAAGCGACAGTTTTCTTTCATTGACGAGCTTTTCAGTAATTTATTGGCGTGTAAATTAAGGGTTGTGCAACCGAAAGTGCAAAATCAATAAATAACATCCTCTAGACCTGAACCATCTGAAAAATCGCGGCCTTAAACTGAATGAACATTGGTATTCAAAGTGTTTCACTTTCAATACGAATAATGAATCTGAGAATCGTTAACTGTCTGTTACAAAGAATTTTTGGCGACCCTGGAAGTGTGAACGCTCAATACAATGGTTTAGGAAAGGGTTTTTGGTCTTCTGATTATATGCGAAGACCCAACTTCGATGCAAGTTAAATATCAGTCACATACCTGTCTTTCCTTTTCGTTACTATAAACAGATCGGTTCCGATGGTTGTTAACAAAATGCCAAAAACGTACTCTTCGGCCTTCCGGTGATAATAAAACCGGTCGAAGGATGCTGCCACTTTCGGTTTTATTTTCGAAAGTGAGGCCATTTTTGTCGCCGAGCCTTTTAGGAAGATGTAAATGTCTTTGTCAATAGTGAAACATCGTAACTAAAGGCCTGCCTCCAAGGCTGTAGAATAAACACTCCGTGTCTTATAATCCTAGTTTTCGAAGAGATAAAACCGGAGCACATCATTGGTTCAGCATTTTTTATGGTAGTGAGTATGGCGGACGTCATTTCACTTTTATGGTAGTCGGTAAATGTTTTTATTAGATCTTCGGTTTTCGTTGTTTGCCACTTTAATTGTTCAATTTTACATGTTTTATTTGGGATTTGCAGAGTTAAGTCGCTAAATGGCTTTAGGTTGTTCAGATTGTGATTACCCTTGCTAACTTGTTGACTAGTAAGTAATTCTTTCTAAAATTTATCCAAACATTATTTTTCTGACTGAAGGTTAATGTGGATCAGGTGATTTGAAATCTTTGAGTCGGCCTGATAATGTATTTGTCATATGTTTTAATTTTTTATTTGGGACATGGGACTGATGAACATTCCTTTAACGTTCAATACGTTTTATTACACCAAAAATACAAATTTGATATTCCTTCAAAGGAATAGCAAATGTTTCAACATTTAAGACATTTAGGTTTAACATCTGGTTATATACGTTACATTTATGTAAGTGACATTTATTTTCGACAACATTTTATAACATGTATAACCATTACAATTATTAATTAGTAGGCAGATACTTTCCATATCGTTCAATGATTATGCGCGTTTTATACTAAGTTGGTAGCAATTACCGTTTCTCGATAATTGGATTTGTTGAAATCATACGCTAAATTACTCGCTCGTTTAATTCAATTTTAGTTCCCAAATGACCATTCATTTTTCAGTTTTCTGATAAGCAACCATCTTTAAGCAGCTTGCTTCTAGCAGAAAAGTTAAGCAATTTATCCTGTCGTTTAGAAGCTAAAATCAATTTCAATGTAAATTAATAATTTTGCCGATCAATTTCAATTTCGGAAATGGATTTTAGCAATTTTTCACCTGATGCAAGCGGACTTGGAAACACCGTGGACAATAATACTATTAACGATTTGCTTTACAGCTTGACTAGTTGATCTAATCCAGACATATTTATTCAGCGACATATGTTGAGTAGAAATTAGCCTTGTAACAAAAACAAACATCATTTTGGTACTGGTTCCAGTCGAAAGCGGGTTACATTATAACGCGATAAGGCGGAGCTTCGGAACTTGGTATTTGCCAAAGAAAAACATTTAAATTATGCCTTGAGATAGCACTCAAACTGCTTTAATTTATGTGCACTTCTGTTTAATTATGGCTGTTCTTATCGAGTAATCCTCTTTCAAAATGTCGTCGCTTGATACGAGTAACCACCATTCTTGTTCAATCTAATGTAGATACATAATCTCGGCTAAAACTGTTGAGACGCAGTTCAAAATGTCTGTTCTATCAAGTAATGCAGTTCGTTCATTAGTTAGATTTTTTCGTTTAGCACAGCATGGATATGTCTCCGAATTGAAGCAGAATTGACTCCTAGATGAGCGTTAAAAAGTGGACTGATTTTAGCAATGGGAATTTTTAGAAAAACTTGCTGACTTTCCGCATATATTTTCCGAACTATCGTTAGAAAAGCCTATCTTTAAAAATATACTTAATATATTTATATATTCTTTACAATATTCATTTATTGTTGCACTAATACTAAAAAGTTGATCCCTAGATTCTCTTTAATTTAACATTGTAAACCCTGTTGTCCCATTCATTCAACCCTTATAGGTATAAGGGATTGTCAAAACGTTTATCAATTATATTAAATAACAATAATACTGAAAAACATGCGCGTTGTGGTTAATTTTATATACATAATATTATATACAACGGGGCCAAATGATTGTTGTTAAGGGCATGAAGCTGGGGAGAAATAACTGATCCCGCTGGTTTGGATTAATTTTTCGGAAGTTTTAAGATCCATCAAGCAATCGTGCAAAAAATGAGAACTAGGAATCTATGGAAGATTTATGCTTCTTCAAAAGTAGTTTTTATATTAATTGTTTTTGCTTAATGAAAAATGCTTGATGTATCCTTTAGTTTTTTTACCACAGTTGCGCAAGACAAAACACTTAGTAACACTTATTAAATAGGCAAATCCATCGAGTTGCGTAATGATTTAATTACATAAAACATGTATATGAATAATCCTTAACTAACGGGGAGTAATAACGTTTCACAAATTCGTGTAAATTAAAGCTTATCATCAAGTGTTGATTGAAGTTTTTTTGATTTGATTAGTATGTCCTTGTCATGGCTATAATATCAAGTCAATAAAATCCTGCCCTTTAAAGGGTAGTTGCCGAAACTATTAAAAATGTACAGTCCTCGTATCTGTTGACTCAAGCAAATGCCACAACAAATGGCCTGAAAGACAGGCTAAGATAAAAATGAAAACGTATATTTACATAAGAATGGTGTAATTTTTAGCAAAGCCCTTATATAAATAGAAAACAAACATTTTAGGCCTCTTTGACTTGTTAATTATATACCCAATAAAAACCGGGTTTTCGAGTACTTTTGTAAATTTTACAGGGCAGTAAAACTTTTGTTTCTGTTTGCCGATGTAACTTTCGGTATAGTTGCAGTTCGAGGATGTTAGTTTGTTCTTTTACTACCAAAAATGCTTTATCACAAAGCACATAATACAAGTTGATTTTGAGATTCTGATACGTCCTTAGTTTTCATGATTTATGATATAGAACTAAAATAAATATTAGGGCTGTTTGTGCATGGATAGGAAATTGTAGCAAGAATACAGCCACGTGGTAAGGATTTGATAAGAACGTTTCAGGCATTTTATAATTAAAATTATTGTACCATTCCTGCTTAAGGAAAACCAGTTGTAAAAAGAGATTTACGAAATGTTTATAGGTCCCATAAGCAATTAAGTCTTACACCTAGTTTATGCTGTACAAACACTAATTGTTAATCCTCCCCGTGTGAAATCAGAGCATCTGTAACTTCAAATATTGCACAACAATGCAATGTCTGAATTCTATATTTAACACTTTTATATAATACATGTAAATATATTTTCAGTCTTTATTTGAGAAATATATTTCAGTTTTGCAGTATCTTAGATTTTACTAAATCTCAGAGGCCCAATCTAACGCAGCAAAATCTGATTTGCACAAAATACCTACATGCAGATAACAATAACCGAAGATATCACCTTGTGCAAACCTTTCAATCATATTTACACAAATCTAATTGCACATAAGCGAAGATATGTTTTAATGTCAAAACGATTACTTCAGTTTGCAGTTCCTCCTATTGCGCCAATCATTTTTGCTGATGATTTCGACGTAAAAAAAGCAAAATTACACTTAATTAATGGAAAAGCAGTTAAGAATTTTAAACCAAGGTAACAGCAAATCAAGTTCCCATTATCTTAAGATTCTTTCATGTTTATGTATTTTGAACGGAAGCTTTCATGGTCAAAATAATCTTTAAAACACTGGCGAATGTTCCTTTAAGAGGATATACCATCAAGTGCATTTAGAAATGAGATTATTATGCGAGTCAAGCCAAGCCGTCTTCTCCCAATATACGTTTGGAAGATTATACTGATGTTCGGCTAAATTTGCCTTCAATAATCTTGCTCAAGGCTTCAGAATTATAACTTGTTTGATTATTTATTAAGCACCACTAACAATTTGCCTGGAGGCTGCACATTACGCCTATTTAGTGAAAAAAAGGCAAGGAAAAAAAAGGAAAGAGAAAAAACTTAAATCTTGCGTTAGTTGGAAAGATTTGCTGCATTAAATTATGACGAGCGCAAATTGTTGGGAAAACTGTTCGGTTTGTACTACTGTAAAGCTATTTAGATAGACATCCATTGATTTATACGAATCTGCAAAGAGCCGTGTAGAATTCGTTCAAGTAAGCTAGAAGCTGATTTAGCTGAGGACGATCTGTTGGGTTCTGAAGCCAGCAATATGACATAACCGAGTATCTGAAAAACACATCCATATTATTAGAGTGCGGCTTTTTGCAAATAATAAAAGCACTAAGCTTTTGTTAACTAATGTGAACGAAATGTACAAAATACGTCATTTGATTTTTCGATCACGACACAGATTTTTTAACGCTTTTTTTGTCATTTTTGTGCTTATTTGATTTTAACTCTTTAACGCTTACTTGCGGCTTTTTTAATAAATTTTGCTTCAATAAGACTAACAATTTATTGAAAACAATGCGCCCAAATGCCCAGTTTAGAAAAATATTAGTTTATAAAATAAAATAATTATTATATTATAAAAAAAGTTTATAAAATTTAATAATTTTCAGAAAAAGGCACTAGAAGGTAACAATAGCATTGGGTTTACTGCAGACGAAACTTGTGTAGTCTAATTATTGGCGTGCTTAAGAATGCTCCGACCAAAAGTTATAAAATTTTTTCGAAAGAACTGGAAGCAACAAATAACAACACAGTTTCCAGAGTTATAAATGAAACATGAAATTTTGCTGTGATAAAATGTTTACAATTTTTCAAAATTAAATTTAAATATGCCATAAAATTGTCATGTAGTTATAGAACACAGAGAACTGACCAATAATCTTGCTTTTATTAAAAGTAATGTAGTTTATAAGTGAAATCATAAAATCCTTGGGGAAACAATAAGTTTCCTTTTTGGAGTCGGTTAAAAAAATTATTGACTTTCAGCCCTAAAATGTGGGCTCGCCTCAGCCACACTCGGCGAATTGGACAAATTCCACAAACAAAACTAAACGGTGTTTTATCAAAAAGCGAAGGATTTCAGCAGTTGAAAGATATTTCTTCGATTTTAAACGGAGAAATTGTACATAACCCATTTATGGATTCGGAAATGGTGTCAAAATTTAGTTATGCATCTGTAACAAGTGTAGACGTGGAACGAAGTTTTTTATTTTTAGCTAGACATTTAGTGATTTCGTGTTTGAAATAATAATTTCATTTGTTTGTTTGTCGGTTTTATTTAGAATAAACTTCAGTTTTAGGCAAAACATGTTTAAGTTTTTTAAAGTAATTAAAATAAATCTATTTAAGAAAACTTTGTTCATTTATTTCATACTTCATTACAATAAATTTCACTTAAAACATTTGAAAAAACTGTATTTTTTCCACGCTGAAATAATTTTGTGCATTTTTAATGTTTTTACATGTTATTATGCTTTTTGTGTGCACCGAGAAATCAATTTGCTATTGAAACGCTTTTTTCGAGAATTTTAGTGCTTCTTAATCCGGACTCTCAAAATGATCAAAAAATTTAGGTTTTCGCGGCCATTTCTTGAAACTGGTGTGTTTTTCGCGGTGCTTTTTTTGCGGTTTTGCTCAACGCAACAACTACGTCGGAAGACTGAAGAAATTATTTTCCACTATCGCCACAAAACCTTAAAAACGTTTTTTGCGATTATTCGCGTGTGTATATATTAATTTGTCATTTTCACTGGGAAACGGCTCTGAAGATGTAAGCGCTCGCGCTTGCAAATCGCCGGAAAGAAATAACTTTCCAAGCCCGAAAAACTCACCAGTTTCTAAAATGACGTTTTGAGCGGGTGAAGTTTGACCACTTTAAATGGGTTAATATTTTCGCTTTCTTCGCACCTGAAGTGTGTTTGAATGAGTTTATTGCATTTCTTTAAAAGTTTTTTGACCAAAAGTGTATTTTGCAGGTGAACTCAGTGCATAACTGTCGACCTAAGAAGTTCTTTCATATGCAAATATGAGCTTTGAATAAGGAAGACATTGCAGATTAAGAATCGTGACCGTTCAAAGGCCGATTCTCTGAAGGGTCTAACGTGTTTTTCTATGAATTCGCTATTCCTCGTTTCAAGCAATTTTAATTTCTCCTCTGCGAAAAGTTGCAGTAACTTTAGATTTATGTTTTTTGAGCTTGATGGGTTTTTTCGACCTAATCTCTAAGATATCGTCGGTTGAAGCAAGGAAAAGTTCTAAACCGTTCCAACCTTTTATAGAATTCGACTTCATTTTTATGGCCTAATAAAAATGAAGTAGAATTCTAGGCGTATTGAGCTATTTTATTTCTTTATCGCCCCTTGACGGCTGAACCACATGAAGAATAGAAGCTATTTCGTTTCTTTTACATATATCAGACCATTTAAATAAGAAATTTGATACATTGTAGAATTGAAAACCAAATGCACAACAATGAGAATATTTCAAAATCACTTTAATATTGTTTGCATATTTTAAAGTCGCTGTTATGTGAGAATGGAAACGAAAGTACTGACGATCGAGCCGAAAGTGAAAACGTGACATAATATCTTGATCTTGGCTCGGCTGAACTACTTAAATACTGAGAAAACACTGTTCGAGAGAAGATGGGATTGATTCCTGCGAAAAGTTTATTATAAGACAAGCTTGATGGTGATGATGACAAACAGTTCTTATCCTGAATATTCCTCAGAATAGTAATCAGCAAATATGGAATTAAAATGTGCAAAAAAGTGGATTTTGACATCATTTCCCACGGATATCTTTTACTCTCCATGTACCTACGCTTCTTATTTCATATTAACCTTGAAATAAGTAATGCATTGGAAATAACGTTTAGTTGATTAGTCACAGCTGTTGCGATGAAAGTATTTGCTATTAGGTTGCAAATATTTAGGAGGATCTTTTTGAGCTAAATGATTACTTACAATTCGTCTGGGCATCCTAAGGGCTGTCCTAATCTATAGCCGGTCCTAAGATGAGTGGACATTTCAAAAGGATCGATGTCGGCATATGGTTGTTGGCACATGGTGGTTAGTTCCCATAAAGTTACCCCAAAGGCCCACTGAAAAGATGGGAAAGAACAACGAAAATTCAGTAAAAGTAACATTTACTAGTAGTCCAATGTCATTTTGTAAGCTTGCAGCCTCCAGATTACTCTAAAAGTGAATGCGAAATGTCCCGGCTTGTCTTGATGAAGCCAATCTAAAATTCTACATACTATTTTACATTTTACCTTGAAATTTTCTTTCGCGCTAAGTAAAAGCACCTTTTATTTGCTTGCAGGATAGGATTAAGCAAAAACACCGAATACAAAAGAAATCCCGTGATTGAATTATGTAGTTATGTCGGCCATCATTCACCATGTGTGTCCATGAAACCATTATGTTGCTCAAGTATAAAACTGTTTGATTTCGTCGTTACTTAGAAGCGAGTTGAAAATCCTGATATTTGCGACTTTTAATGATAAAAATGGAAAGTTCTCGTTTTATTTTAATTGCCGGAAAATGCTACATCAACACATACTTTCAATTTTTTCAGCAACAAGCAGCCTGTTCTACAAAATAATTCTGATGCGCTTTTTACACTTTAGCTAACAGCGCCTGATATATCAAGGATATCTTGCGCCTTTCAGTTAGTTAATGACGCCAAGCCAGTGTAACACTTTTCTGTGTTAAATTCATGTAAAAAATGAGGAAAAAATGCATAATTAATTAGTTCTCCAGCTATACAGTGACCGATCTAATCCATTTTAGAACCACTTTTTGATCATGTGGAGACATGGAGTTTAGCGAGACACTGTTCATATTCAGGTAAATATTTCCTGAATAAAATGTTCTTATAATTGATGCTGAGGAAACAATAGAAGGACGAATGAGGATGAAGGCAAGCATATGAAATGTTTCATCATCAAATAATTGTGAAATTGCTTGATGTACAAAGCGATAATAAGTGTATATTTCTGGGATCTATCTGGCTAAATAATTATATGGGAAAAAATTACTAAGCAGTGATTGAAATTTGAATATCACTAGTACACCTTCGAAATGCCAATGTAAAAAAATCAATAAATAATTTCCATAATTCCACAAGGAAGCAAAGAAATGATATTCTAGAAAGGAATCAACAAAGCAAATTAAATATTTGGCTGGCCTCCGAACAGACTGACTACCTATTTTAGGTGTGAATAAGACATGATTCAAGGTTATCAAGGTGAATAAACTTGGTTACAAAGAATCAAATAACGCCTCGTCTATTTTTTACATCTTTCCCATGTGCAGAAACCCGGAGAAATATCTCTCCGAGGTCAAACATAAACAAATTTAATTTGAAAACTTGTTCTGTTTGCAATGTCTTTTCAGATGATACCTACTCTCGGTTTTTATCGTTTGTAATTTTATACACACAGGTTAGAGATAATCCTAAAAGAATTTAACACCTTGAAGTAAAATGCCGAGTTCACGTTCTCGCGAAAGCACGTATTCCCGCTTCTGAGATTTTTCACCTAAACTTCAAGCTCAAATTATTTGATTTAACAAGTGTTTTTTGTATAATAAATGACAAATTATACATACCACATCAGTTTGGAGAGTCCATTGGTCATATACGAGGCTTTCTAAAGCCATCCACTTAATGGGTTTGCTCTCCTTATCCCCAACGCAAAAGTAGTCATTGGGGAACATGTCTCGGGACAGACAGTTGTCCGTAATTTTTATGTCGAACTTTTCTCCGACCCTACGAAAACACCAAACTTAGCTGATTATGCGAAATTAGTATAATTTTTAGCCCTAGGACCAGAAAACTGGAGAAGATAAATCTTCAAAATCACAACTGCCAACAGTTTTTTTGAACAGATATTTTGAAAATATCCGACCGTAAACCTTTTTTCTGATTTATTAAAGTTACTTACACGGCATTTCTAGCGGCCATGTCTTTCAAGCAAATACTTTTGCTGTGAAGATACATCAGCCCCAGAAGAATCTGAATAGCCATATCAACCAGGATTTGAGTGGAAACTGTAGTGTCATCCTTTCTTTGCCGACAGTTTACCAGGAATCTGTAAATCATTAATTGAATTCTATGAAAAAGTCATTAGATGCTTGCAAACCTTTTTAAATTTCCTCTACTTGCATAGGAAAAAACCAGCAAAGGTCTAGTGGGATTTTCCGTGTTGACACAGAGTACGCTCAAGACGTTTTTGTGATCCATTCCAAACATCATCGTACCCTCTGCCAAAAATAAATTTAACAACCTTTTCGAGACCGTATCTGTAAAAATAAAAGGATTTGATGGTCAGAGAAAATGTCACTGGGGCTATTCTTTGGAAACCGCCATTATTTATCCTTTCTGGCCTATTTGTCCGGGCGGCTCTAATTCTTCGAAGTATCACAAGTATGCTAATAAATGAAGATGATATGGAAGATCACACAAACTCCAAAAGCGCCCATTGGCGGAAGTTGACGCTGTGTCGGATCCCACATATTGTCTTTATCTCAAATGTGTTAAAATTATTTTTAAGTTGCTCAGATTTCGGGTCACGAATTATTAGGCATTTACGATGCTCTTGACACGTTATCCAACAACGGTTGTAGAATACAACAATTCGCAATCCTTTCAAAGAGAATAACCCTGTAGTCCCAATATACATTTAAAGCTTTTAGTATTAGTTTTACAAGGTTGATGGGTGCTAATTCTATGGAAATGCCCTGTAACTTTTATGGATTTTGAGAAATCTGAAAAAATTGGTCGGTGCGCATAATGGTATTCATTTATCAAAATGAAAGTCAAATTTGACTTTATAGTCCAGGACACGTTGTTGTTTTACGACGTTCGAATCGTAAACTTGACTGATAACTCTAATAAAATCGGCAAGAGATCTAGAAAATGGGATTGCCACTAAAACATGGTAATTAAGGAGACGGTTTTGTGACAAAGTCTACGAATGGCTTTGAGAATTTTATAATTTTCCTCAAGTCAGAAGACATATCTAAATCTATAACTGATTAAGTGCATCCAGCTGAAAATGATTGAGATTTTGTTAAAGGATCGCAGAATGGCTTTTTCCTCAAATATTACCTGTTGAATTATACATAATAAATACATTTTCACAGTAAATATTTCTGTATTTTTATTCTTTCTTGTCTGTAACAGCATATAATATAGGTACGATTTCCTGTTTTTGACCCAAAAATCAAATTTCTCACTTTCTGGTCGTTCTCCACAATTGAATTAAAAACTTGTTAATAATGATTTTTTGATAAGTTACTAGGACACTTTGGCAAATTAACGTTTTCAGTACTTTGCCATATAAATTGAGTGAAAAGGGCGTGCTTTTAAATGCATCCTATTAATTTATCTACAGAGTGTTTGTGTGTTGCATTTTTTAATCCGAGAACGCTTAGTTTCCGATTGATAAAAATTTAGCAATTCTATAACCAAAATCATATTCACTGTAAATCTCTTGAAAGATTTACATGAAATTTCACAAGCTTCAACAGTTAACAACTATATACGTTTCAAGGTGCCAATGTTGTTTTTAACTTCATCAGTGGCGTGGGCACAGGTACATCTTCAGATGATTTAAAATAAAAACGGTTACGCCACTGGTTTTTCTCAAATCAAAATCAATTTTTTGAGTCACGGGCGATGCACCGTTTTTGTGCAAAAAAATTAAATCGATTGATTGCACAGCGTAATGTGGTTTTTATTAATTTAATTGAAAAACACAATTGGAGTACAATTTTCAAAAATCAAAATCAGATCAAAATATGTTTTGTTGCCACAGAAGCATTCAACCAACCGGTATGGACAAAGTGAATGGCAAAAACAATACAAAATATARCACATACAATGACAATAMGCAARGAAGGGTATAAATACAAAAAGTATCAAATCTTGTCTTGTTTCTATGAAGGCATGTCACAGAGTTATGTTGTATCAATTTATCCTATCAACTATTATGAATTTCCTATCAACTATTATTTTATTATTATAATTTTAGCCAAATTACGCCCAACTGGTGGAGAATTTTATGTAATCATTCTAAAAACCTCTGGAACTTCTTTTGGTGGCCAAAAAGCGCAGAATTTTCGACAATTGTAACCCAAGCAACAATCAAGAAGCAAAGTAGTTTTAATGATTTAATTTTAAAAATGACCAAAGTGAAGCTCTTATTAGACCATGTCCTGATATTTCAACTGTGGCGAACGCTGAGCGTTATTTCGCCATAGTCAAGATGATTTATATTTTGAATATTAATTTTCGTGAATTTTTGTTCGGATCTGGCTTCAATTTCTTCCTTGACCTCACTTCCAACGGAATTTGCTACCCGAAGGCCGGAAAACGAATGGAAAAAAAATCCTTAAACATCGGCAAAAGCAAATCGTATTCATATTGCCACCTAGCGCTGAAGAAGTGAAATTTACCTTTAGTTGTCTTGATGGTAACAATCTTTTCATGGTACTTCCCAAGGTAAATTTTGCCAAAGATTCCTTCTTCTTGAAGAGAATCCACATGGATGGCGGATCGTGGTACTGCCAACGTCGAAATCCTCTTGGAGGGATCAGTCAGACGTGGATCATTGTGTGCTATCTGCAAAATGTACTTCTCAACTAAATCGAGTAGCAATAAAATTTTAATGTTCCATTCGATTCACGTGGCTATGGGGGAGATTTTTTTAAAATAAAGAACCGACTGGTCGCAACTGATAAACCGAAATGAAAAGGCACCAAACAATGTCATTCAAATGTTGGGCTATTAACGAAAACCAATTAATTTTGGAGAGCCTCTTAAATATAATCCTGTACTGCAGTGTCTGATTGATTTCGCACAAATCTAAGGGGTGCTGTTATGTGAAAACAGATAAGCTCAACGGAAGAGGGAAATTTAATGTCTAAAGTAAATACTATTGCGAAATTCCCAAGGGGTTTAATATGGCGGACTGCTTAGTCATTGACTCGCTATCCACTACCGAATGGTTGTTCTCATTTGAACATCGAGGGTGATTTAAGTGCAAGTGTACGTTATTTGATGAACTGAAGAAGACAGTTACATATTATTTAATTCTGATGGATTATGCGATTTATTATTAGCATCGTATGATCGTCAAAGCTATCGTAACTCCTCCTCAAAAAAATTCACCCAAGCATGAAAAACCGTATACAATACGGCAGCCCTAAATTATTAATCAAATATTTATTGTAAAATGAGCGTCGTGTGTAAAGCCCTTGTGAGTATCTGTGACATGTTGAAAAACAATTTAGCCGATTTATAGCTTAAACTGTCTTCCTGCTGGAAGTATCATATAACCAATCCTAGATAAAAGCCTTTCGGTTCTTGAAAACTTTCGGATTTTTTAAAAGGATCCTCTTGGGCCATTATCCGGCCCCGTAATACTTTTGACAAATCTGTTTTTGCCACACACTACTCATGTGCCAGACTACATTCTTGATAAATTGTTTTGTATGTGCGATTTATTCAATCCATTTAAAATAGTAGAATAAAACTGTCAGACGTTGGGTTATTTGTCAATTTGTCACCTGTTGGTTGGGAACGTGTGGGAACAAGCATATGTTGCACATTGTTCGATGGATTTACTGATTAGACTGTGAAATTTATTTAATGTGCGGCCATTCTTCATATTAATACAACCGAGCGATTTCATTGGTGAGCTTTCAGAGTTTATCCACTTTAATTGGCGCAATTCTTTATGTCAATTCATATATAATGTACAAAATTACACTCCTTCAAACCTCGCGTGAACGACTATTTCTGTGGCCGAAGATTATTACTAATTATTAATTGACATAATTCAAATTTAATCGCAGTACTGCATACTACTTCCAACAAACCCGTCTTGTCTGGGATACAATTTTTTCGATCTCAGGAAGTAATTCACGTTGAACCAACTCCAGCCCCTAACAACATTTAATTAATACTGGACAATGCTATAATGAGGGCAGCCTGAATCCAGTAGTAATTATCACATATGAAAACCTAGCAATCTCCACACCACAAAACCCACCAGCCAATCAGTTGGGCATTTTCATTTATACTGTGCAAAGGATCTCCCTAACGCAGACATACAATTTCCTATGTGTCGTATCAACACCTGACATACTTGCAACGTTCTTCCCTCACCCTAAATTGAATAGAATTATTATCAAAAACTCAATCTCGGTTAATTGTTTAGAGCCAGATCCGAGCAGGCTCGACTGGACTGATCGGAGTGTGAGATTTAGAAACAAATGCTAACATTCTGGAAAGTTTTTCTGGATAACTCAAGAAGGCAAAGAGAAAATCATCAAATTCTAAGCGATTATTTCACACTTGATGCTTTAGATGTTAAGTACTCCGCATGCAGAGACAATCCCTTTTAAAGCCAGAATTTATGAATTTATTACCAATAAATGTAAACAAGCAATTTGGCATTACATGCTCTTCTGAAGACGGTTTATGAGCAACTAGTGGCGGTTCGAATGAAGAAAACGTTGTTTCAGATGAGGCTCGAGTTTTGTCCTACTGAAGACACTGGTACCATCGCAATGCATTTTTAAACTTTGATGTGCATGTGCGCGGGTTTTCATTTTTCATTATGCTCTTTTGAAGGTATTTCCTGAATGAGCCATGATTTCGGAACGGAGATCTCAGCGCTCGATAACCGAAACTTCATTTCAAAGAAGGTTGATCTTTCTTCCAGCCAAGACACTAGTACCGACATAATTAATTTTTAAACTTCGAACTGTTTTTGCGCGGTTCGAGATTTTATGCTCCATGCTCTTCTGAAGACGCTTTCTGAAGAACCAGTAGAGCTATCAAAAAGGCTATTTCAGCGCTCAATAACCAAAGCCTTGATTTATATGCAGTTCACCTTGGTTCCTTT